AGATAGCAGTGATGTCATCTATCAGTTATTTGACTATTTACCATTAATGTAAACATAGACAGGAAGTCGCTTAATGGAAACAAAAAAAAATTCAACTCACATTTTAAAAATATACAAAATATCAACTTTGTTTTATTACATATATACTATATATGTATATATATATATATGATATAGAACTGCGACAATCTCCTTTTTACTAAACAATTGAAGTGATTAATTATGAAAACTGTCTGATTAAATGTGATTCAATCACATTCAGTCCCAGGAGAACGTATGGATCAACGTTTCAGTGTGAAACTTCCTTTAACTATTTCAGGCACTTGTGGTTGTGGCTTTGTGTAGAGTTAAAGGCTGTTCTTGAAATTGTGGGATGGGCCTCCAGGACCATTTCTGAGTCCCGCTACATGTGTAAGGTACATATTATCAATATAGCCAATGTCACGGACCTGGAGAAGATCGAGTCGAGGCTCTTATCAACCAACCCCCCCCCCCACAACGCTGCCATGATGAATTCCTCCTTAGGCCTGCGGTTCATGTTATCACCGTGGTAACAGCTCGCTGATCAGTAATTCATTTTTCAGACCTCTGCATAGCAATTACCAAATGAAGGTTATTATGGAGACTTTGCGTTTGCTCTGCGCGAGCGCCGTGCCGAATGCTAAGAGGAAGTAACGAGGGTCGGAGCGCTTCAAGGAGGCCTCTGTCCCTCAGTCCTTGCTGGCCTCGCTGCTTGTTTTCTGGCTGAGCGCGAGACAAGTTGACACGCTGCTTTTTCAAACCGACGTGGAGGGCGGTGTACTGTGTTCCGCTTGGACGGAGCCGCACAACTCACGCCGACTGTTTGCTCTGAGAAGGATTGTTGGAGAGCTACATAGTGGTAGAGATAAGGACATCACCCACAACTTGTATTCACATTTTAAACACAGCTCAGGCTGTGTGTGTGCATGTGTGTGCGTGTGTGGGTGTGCGTGTGTGTGTGTGTGCGTGGGTGGGTGGTGAGGGGTTTGATTTTACTGCTGGAATGTTCTTATCCTCTTGATTCAATGGAATGAATGAATGAATTCATTTTACTAAAATGTCAAGAAAGATGTCTTAATCTGGTGACTGAAATGTGTCTGTGTGTGTGTGTGTGTGTGTAAGAGAGAGAGAGAGAGAGAGAGAGACAGCCTAAATGCCACATTTCTCGTTCCCATTTTGAGAATCCACACAGCATCCATTTTGTAATAGAAGCGGAGCTCTGTGTCCTCTTCCACTTCTTTTTACTGCTGCCCACACTGAGGGAAGCACTGATCCACCTCTCCAGTCCGACACTGATACCTGGGATCAGTCTATCTGCTGGAGTCCGATACCAGCGACTTTAATAATAAACTGTAAAGGCTTTTTGGGGATTAATCCAATCATCTTAAAACAAATGTATGAATTAGACATTTTTTATTTAAATTCTTGATCAATTCAGCAATTCATTTACCTGACATGAATATCAAAAACGTTTTGTAATTGATATTTCATTATTTTATTTCGTCATTGTCTCTTAAAAATAAAGAAATATATTAGATAGATAAATAGACCCTGTTTGTCAGATGCCTGATCAGCATACAGAAATGAATCTGTGACACACAGATTCATTTCATATCTGTCTGTCATAGCAACACCTTCCCTGAACTGAAGAAGCAGTATTATTTTTTACCTCAAAAGATATACATGCCTAACTATAAATGTTATCATTATAATAATACAGCGTACACAGCACCTTGGTAAAAGATCTTTAGAATTACAATTCCAGTGTAAGCCTTCTCTAATGCAGCAACAAACGGGTCAAAACGTAGACACTTCCAGTTCATAATGTTCATAGTGTGTAAATATTGAATTGAACCGATATCGATCAGGCTGTCAGCGTCGGCCTGATATCGGCATCGGTGCTTCCGTACCCACAATGCAGCGCTCCCCTGCATGTCCAGGTGCTCTGACACAGTTCAGGTGCTCCCCTGCCATGTAAGCGGCCGTATTAAAACGTAATGTACTGGTGTGTTATTTATGGCACGGCGGTTAATATTTAATAAGAAACCCTGTCGTTTGGAGACTGGGCACTTTTCCAAGCTGTTAGTGACGGCAGGCCAAATTAATCCGCTTACTAACAAAGCAAATTCCCCCTTTGCTGACCGCTAGACACACACACACACACACACACACACACACACACACACACAAACACACACTCACTCACTCCCTCTGCTTAGTGGGACGGCAGCAGACCTCGGTCTAATCGGTCTGTATTCAGAGGGATTAGTAGCAGATCGTCCTAGCTGGACAGTTCAGATTGGAGCCCCAAACAGTGACTCAGACACACATACACACAACAAGCGGATTTAGGTTTCAAAATACATGCAAACACGGGATCTGAAGAAAAAACATATGGGGCAATGTAACACAATTTGGCTGAAGGCTTACACTCAGCCTGAATAGCTGTGCCGAGCAGCTCACGCGCACGTTACCCTTTTGCTCTCTGACAAAAGTGCCTGCCACATGCTGCAGCCTGTTTGTCTGCTCGGCTCTCGTGTCTTATCTTCATGTCTTTTGCTTGTATGTGTATTGGTTTAGTCTATACGTTATTGTCTGTTTATCTATGAATTTTAATTCCATTTTAATTTAAATTTTTGTAATTTTAGGCTGCCTTCAAACATCTGGCCGATGAAAACCAGCCTCTCTGGCTCACTTACAGTTGCACTGTTGATTGGTGTGCATTAATAAACAAATTCATAAATTAAATTAAATAAAAGTGATTTTCTCACGGAGAATTCCAGCTATTTAAAAGCAAACAATTCCTCCACATGAAAGCGAGCAGGCTGAAACTAGTTTGCAGCGGGATACCTGCAGCAATGCCTTTCATGCAGGACAATAGGGTTTGTGAAGAGGGCGAGGCTGAGGGCCCGGCGTGGGGCATGCTGGGTAATCCAACACTATTGAGTTTGTGGTTAATCTAATGGCCGGGCTTTGAAGGCTGTATTAGTACTTTGTATTTTTCTTCTAGTCCACCACCTCTCAGAGGTATTTAGTACTTTTTACTTCAATTACTTCACAAACTAAGAACCTTGACGGGCTGAAGGACGAGTACATTAATCGACTGACAAAAAATGTGTTGGCAACAATTTACAAGTTTATTTTATTTATGTGTAATAGACATGAATTCCAATACTGATGCATTTTAGAGCTTAAAGCTATTTTTTTCTTCCCAATAATAGAAATCTCCATTCCATACAACAAGCATTATAAAATAGTGTTCACTACTCACACGCTCACAGGATGCACGGTGTTTCCACAACAGTTGTTGTTTAATTCGTTTATAATGGTTCATGAAATTAAAATGAATGACTGCATTCTTCATTCTTCTTTAACCACCTTTTTGGCATCATAGAAAAAGAAAAGAAAATCTGGTTTTGATATGGAATGGAAGGTTGTGTGGCTTTAAAGGAAAATGCTCTTGCTGCTCTGATAACCTCTCATTGTTTTCCAGCTCTGTGTTCAGTAGTGAGCCCAGAACGCAGCACACACACTCAAAGCAGGTTAAAAGGGCTTAATACAAACTCAACAGCACACAGGTGGCAGAGATTGATCTGAGCACAAGGAAGCAGAGTTTCAACTCAGGGACAAGAAATACAGGACCCCCCCCCC